AACAACAATAAGAATATTGACGGCAACCTCTGGGGTTCTATCAAAGACGTGATGCACAACCTTAGCTTCCCTACAACCATTCCAACCAAATTTAGGTTCGTCCATATATTATGATAAATTTCTTCAAACACTAACTGCTTTGACTCAGGGTCTACAAAACTGAGCTAAAAAGATGGTTGACATGAAGAATGAATTTGGTCAAATGGCAAAATTCATGGGAAAAATCCGAGAACAAGGAAAACTCCCTAGCTCAACTATTATCAATCCAATGGGAGGTTTTGAAATTGCTAAAGCTATCACTTTGAGAAGTGGTAAGGAGGTTGGTGGTGAATCAAAGATGTCCAAACATAGCCAAAAAAGGGATGAACATTTACTACCTACGAATGTGGAGAATGATCCAGCCACGACGAGGGTGAAGAACACCTTGTAGCAATTCCCTGCCACCACTAAGCTCAATGCTGCAGGCACCAATGCTTCTTTGCCTCCCAACTTAGGTAAGGTTATTACAAATTCAATTCTTTCTAACCCTATTCTATCAAATGCACCTTTCCCTGGCAAGTTTGCTAAGTCCAAGAAAGAAGAGAATGAGAAAGACAACCTAAAAACCTTCCGGAATATACAAGTTAATATCCCGCTTCTTGATACAATAAAGCAAGTTTCGAAGTATGAAGAAGTTTTGTAAAACAAGAAGACATATTCTGAAGAATGAAGTTGTACATGTAAGTGAGAATGTCTCTACAGTTTTGCAAAGAAAACTTCCGCCTAAATGCAAAGATCCAAGTAGTTTCTCTATCCCTTGTGTTAAGGTAATGCTAGATTTGGACGTGCCGTGTTAGATTTAGGTGCTTCCATTAATGTCATGCCATATTTCATTCATGCATCCCTGAATCTAGGAGAGCTAAAAAATGATGGTGTCATTATTCAATTAGCTGACCGATCTAATGCATATCCGAAATGAGTTTTAGAAGATGTTTTGGTGCAGGTTGACCATTTGATTTTTCCATCTAACTTCTATGTGCTTAAAATGGATGATTCGGCTTCTTCTACGCCATTGTCAATCTTACTTGGCAGACCTTTAACCATGGAGTTTGATAGCGATGTGATTAATTTTAATATTTCTGAATCTATCAAGTATACTAATGATGACCATTCTTTTGTTGCCATTGATGTGATTGAAAATTTAGGGCAGGAACGCTCAACAGTCATCAATAGGGATGTATGTAAGACCACCATCACAAAAGGAGTTGGATTGGATCACATGACACGCCACTACCCTTAAACCAACCAAGGCCAAAAGCAACAACCCTAAAAATTTTCACAGTAAATTGCTGCCTTTGAGTCTTGTCGCAGAACATAGGTGAGCCATTTCCATGAATTTCTTCGATTTTCACCACCGATCACTATTAACGTTGTTGTGCACTGTTCTAAATTGTTTATTGTGTGTTATTTAAATTCCAAATTTAAAAACAAAAATTGAAGAAAAATTGGAATAAGTTAGAAAAAACCTAAAAGAGTCGTTTTTATTAGTTTGTTTGTTTATTTGTCTTAGAGTACCTTCCAACACAATGATGGGGATTCGATTTTTAATTGCATGATTGTTAAAGAAAGTTACAAACATTGGTGGAAGTTTCATATGCTCTTTGGTTAATACTTAGTTGTAGTAGTTGTTTGTGAATTCACATGTAGTCTCAAAAGGGAAAAAAAAAATGTTTTTGTAACATGCTTGAAGGAAGACTCAAACTAACACTACAATCATGTGAGACTTAAGCCTATGCTTTGTCTGAAGAGTTATCAATTTGTGAACTTTCTTTTTTTCTAAAGTCATTGCATGATCTCATTAGTTCTTTTCTTGTTTTCAAAATACTAGAACTTATGCCTGTTTCATTCAAAGCATTAAATTGATTACATAACAAACATATCAAGATGAAGTTATCTAGTTACCACCAAAGCCAAATATCATTATCCCTTGCATATGTATTGTAGGTTTAACTCCCATTGAGCCTTATTAAGCCAATTTTTCTTTGTTAACCCGCATAATCCCTACCTAGCCTAGTATAGGTCTATCCATACCCTTGTTCTTAAAGAATAGTGAAGCATTACTTATTGAGAATTCCCTTTGATTTATGACTTGCAAAAAAACAAGTGTGGGGGAGGGATCTATTTTGGTCTCCTGTATCTTGTGAATTTATGTTTCATTCAAAAGAAAACAAAAAGAAGAGAAAAAAAATGTTGAAAAGAAAAAAGAACAAAAAAGAATCGGAAAAAAAAAAAGAAAAAGAAAAAGAAAAAAGTGTATAAAAAGAAAACGAAAAGAGTTCAAAAGTGTTGTATGTTGAATAATAGTCCATCTTGTGAAATCTAACCCTAAATTTTGTATGAGTCTCTCATTTATGTTTATATTTGGGTATGCAATCAAGAGGTGAATTCTATGTTGTTGATTTCATTGCATTGCTTACTATCTTTTTGAGAACTTTTATTAGCCAATACCTTGGCCTCTTAACCTCTCTTTATTAGTCAGTACCTTAGCCCCGTTACAACACTAACTTTTGTCTTGATTGTTGTGTTTCTATATGTGGAGTCTGAAATTTGTATGAGCAGATTGGATCCCTGGTTCTTGCTTCTAAGTCATGGCATTCCTTTCATGAGATCATATATATATATATATATATATATATATATATATTAATAATTCCTGTAAGTGTCTTCTTTGTTATAATATATGTGAGTATTAGTCTGCAAGTTACACCAATCTTCTCTCATAATTGTAATCAGAAAATCTGTGTGAAAATAGAGAGTATATCCGATGATGAATTGAGTGAATTCTCTAAGGTATGTTACTACTTTCAAATTTATTTAATTGATTAAATGTGCACTAGTGATTGGTTGTTGCAGTTAAGTATAGCTTAAGAGTAAGGATAGTTAAAATCTATTTAAGTAATAATTTTTAATATGTCATGAGCCATTGGAAATCCTCGAGGCAAATATTGGAAGGTTTAGGTCTTTGTTTTTTGTTTGTTTGTTTTTTTTTTTTTTTTTTTTTTTTTTGCTCGGGGACTAGCAAAAGCTAAGTGTGGGGGAATCTAATAGGAGCATATTTATACGATTTTGTTATCTTATTTCTTTGCATTTACTTAATTAATTTCCATTTGTTATAGTGTTTTATCTTATTTTCATTTTATTTGGGTCAATTTGGAAAAGTTGACAATTGGAGGTCAAATAAAACCAATAAGAGCACTTTTGGACTTGGATTTGATAGAATGCGTGGACTGCACAAGGGCTAGACATTTTTAGAGTTTAATTGGTGTTTAACATGTGCCAAAATATGGAGATATGGAGTTCAGGCTTGGAAGACAAAGGACTTGCATGAGGAGAAGGAGTCCTAGTTGGAGTGAAACATTATCAAATAAGGCAGCTGATGTGCACTTTATCTTATCCTATCTCTAGCTGCAAAGAAGAGTCCTAATCAAGTTTAAACACTTTCCGACTGTTTCCATTGAGTCTTACAATTTATCCATTCATTTTGGGGGGGGGGGGGGGGGGTGTGGGGAAGTCATCCATTCATCCATTTAAGTCACTGGAAATCCAGAGTTCTTTTCATTAGGTTCAATGTTTATTGTAAATTGTTTTTCAATTATGAGGAACATGTGTAACTATGTTTTGTTTTTAGCTAGAGGTGAATTCGAAGCCATGAAAATATGTTTTATATAAATTGCTTACATACAATTATTGTTTCATAAAACGTAAATGTAATTTACTTATCTGGTTTATAGAGAGCTTATTTTTATATGTTTATTAAGGGTGCAACTCAGCTTGCATGATGGAATTTGATGCTAGAATACAAGGGAATTTCACCTAAATCGTTATGAACTTGTATTGGCAGGTAGTAAAAGTCGCTAGTCATGATTGAGTTAAGTAACTCCTTTGCAAGAGTATCATGTGTCATTATGAATGCCTTGTCAATGCTTGTGATTTTTAAAGAACTTAATGATATTTGATGGTAGACAGGTGTCTTGATAAGAATAATTTGAGGAGTGAAGTGTCTTTCTTTTTATTGAGCTTAGGAAAATCTAAGGGTTAATGAGTGTGTCATTGTTAACTTGGGGCATTGTCATTCACGGTTTATAGAAAGAATAACTAGAAATCTTTGTCTGCATATGTTTAGTGTGTGGAAAAGAATCATTTAGCCAGCCTTTAATCCATCAATCACTCAAATTTTAATTCATTGTTGTTGTTTACTCTTTGTTTAGTTGTTAATTTGATTTCAGTTCTATAATCCAATTCATTTAAATACCCCATTCTTGGTTAGTTTGTTTGATTTAGTTTTGTTTATTTAGTCTGTGTTGATTAGCAGGCCTTCTAACTTCTAATCCCGGAATAGAACAATCCTTGCTTTGCTCTTACAACAATTACATTTTCTGCGGAATTTTAATTTGTGTCAGTCTACCGCATCACTTGCAAGATTTGTTAAATTTATTTTTAACTGATATATTACTAATTAATTTCGTGATATCTGTAATTTTGTAGGCTACTTCAGTAGTTGAACGGAGCTTTTTACTCACTGGCTTCTGCCTGGAGATTTGTTTATCAGCTTTCCTCCATGTATAAGCCTCACTACGCACTACTTGGTTTGCTGTTCCCAATTGCGGCCACTTTCTCTTGCATTTTGGAGCTCATTCTCAAGAGAAAAAAGGAAAGAGTTGTACTGAGGTGGAGGGGAGGTTGCGGTGATTCTACATGGTTTTCAGTACTCTCTCCCCCGTATTTATGGAATAGTTGGCTCCATCTATCAAAGCATTTGCTCACACGGTTCAGTATGTTTACCTCCATTGCCGAGCTTAGAGCCCTACCAATCTTTCCGCTTTACCTGTCATCTTTCTTGTATGTTTGGCGACATCAATAGGAACACAAGATCCCTCATAGATCTTGAAACCCTTGAACATACGGCTTAGGAAACAAAGACTAAACTGTGACCAAATTAATCATACGGTTTTCAATTCTAATTTGTTTTGTAATCACTTTATTTATGTATGACGAGAAATTTTTACGTGTGCCAGGACATTTCTTTTGTAATTTGCATGGAAAAAACTTTGTGTCTAATTCTTCCTCGATAATCTGATCTCTAAAATCAGAGCATCCACCCCTACATATGAAGACCCACCTTCTTCCACAGCTCTCTTCGCCTTCTCTGAAAGCACTTTCGCTCTCTTCTTCATTTCCGCCGCCTCATCACTGCCGCCCATCATCCTTCTCACCGCCGCATCCACCTTCTCTCTCCTCACCAGTTCCTTCCTCTCCACATTCCACGACTCCCATTCCCTACTCCCCACTTGCACCCCAATGCCCAACACATCAGTTATCAGCTTCTCATTGTAAAACTGCTCCGCCGACAATGGCCAAGTCACCATGGGCACCCCTGCGCTCACGCTCTCCAATGTCGAGTTCCACCCGCAGTGGCTCACAAACCCGCCAACAGCGCAGTGCTCCAGTATCAGCATCTGCGGGGCCCAACCCCCTATCACAACCCCTCTCTTCATTTCCCACATTCTCTCTGCAAATCCCGCCGGAATCCAATCCTCTTTGTCTCTAACACAACCACCGTCCTCCACCGCTCTGAACATTTTTCCCATTACCCAAATGAAATTATGCCCCGAAGATTCAATCCCATGTGCGATTTCGACGAGTTGGGCTGCAGACAACCGAGCCAAGCTCCCAAAACTGATATAAACAACCGAATCAGGTTCCTTGGAATCCAACCAATTCAGACAATGCAGGAGGCTCTGCTCATCGACCAAGGCTGCTTGGCCTCTGTTAGTCTTATCGGCGTTGCTTCGGTTGTAGAGCGAAACCGGGCCGATTGGCCATGCCTTCTTCCCCAACTCAGTCGTGAAATACTCCACATATTTCGACTCCAATTCGTAAAAACTGTTCACCACAACCCCAAAACTCTTCTCCTCTACTTTTCCCACCTTATCAGGGAGCCCTGGCCTGTTTCTCGCGAAAGAAGGCAGCTGAGATTTCGTCAATTCGATCCGATCGGGCAAGTTCGGCACTAGAAATGGCTCGCAATCAGCACCCACATTCTGATGCGGCGCGAATCGGCCAATACACTCACTGACGCAGCGGGAGAATAACCCGTTTCCATTGAACACCACCCTTTTGATGAAAAGCTCATCGATGACTTCTGCCGCCCAACGGTGGAAGACGTCGATTACGATGCAATTGGGTAGGTTTTGGGCGATGAATTGCCTGAGGGATTCTTGGAGGACTGAGGTGTCAGTGAGGGGGGCTGAGGTCATGGAGGAGTCGGCCGAGGCGTCGTCGTCTGGGAGCTTGAGGACGTGGATGGTGATTGAGCGGTTGAGGGTTTGATCGCGGCGGATGGAGTTTCGGAAGCGGAGGGCGTTGGCTGGAGTGGTGCTCAGGATTGTGACTTTGGCGCCATGGGAGGAGAAGACTCTGGCCATGTCGATCATAGGAATCTGGTGGCCTCCGCCCACAAATGGGAAGAAGTACATGACGACTGGAGTTTCTGAAGAATCCATGGATGCACCGATAGAGAAATTGAGGAATGGGTTTAGAGATGTGGGGGTTTTAGGTTAGAGAGAAAATAGGAGGCAGAGAGTTTGACCGCAACTGTTTGATGGGACGCCAAAGTCAAGTTCTTGGCTAGGGGCCATTTGGCATTAGTTAAAGCCCTCGTGTGTTTCTTAACTAAACTCTAGGTCATCCATGCACTTAAAAAGGAAAAACTTGCCCTACCGATCCATGTAATTGTGGCGTCAGACACCATTTTTCTCTACGTGCAGGTTGAAATAAAACGGATCAGGATCCTCTCTCCTGACCTTAAAAAATTAAGCCTATTGAGCAAATAATAGCAGTAGTTGAAGTTTGATTCAACGGTAACAAACAGAGAATCCTTTAAAAGTTATAATAATTGTAACCGTTGAATCAAATTTCAACGATCACAATTGCCTACTCAGCAAGCTCAATTTTTAAGGATCAGGAGAGGATCTGATCCAAATAAAACAAATAAAACAAGTTATTCTCTCCTGTACAAATTTAAAATTGTCAAATTGAAAATGACAGAGACAAAAGTGAAATACTGGCCAAACCAGAAAAACCAGAAATGTGATTTGGGACAACTGAGCTATGTTTAAAATCAAAATCTCACGAGTAGGAGTCGGAACAACCAAATCCTGTCATTGTCATTTTGTCTGGTTATTTATGTTAAAGTATTCAGATCGTTCTAATAAGTGTTAATCGCATCCTGTCATCTCTGAATCTCTGATTTCACTCCATCAGTGTGCTTAACTCCATCAAGCATCAATCCTATCCAACAACCTTCATCAACCTTCATCATGCTATGATCTCTTTCCCCTTGATTTTATTTATTTATATTTCTTTCAATTTCTAGTGTATTTATCTGTTTAAATTCGGTGTTTTGCACCAATCAAATTTATGAAAAATATGTTTACCCAAACCAAAAAAGATAATAAATTAAAAAAGCAAATTTATCAAAAATATCATATTCCAATCATCTTCTTAACAAAGCCCACGCTAGGGGTGGGCACGGTGCGGTTTGGTGCGGTTCCACCCCTAAACTGGAACCGGAACCGAAATATATTAACGGTTCGATTCGGTGCGGTTCCACTTAAATTTATTACTAGAACCTTACGATTCGGTCTACACCGGTTCCGATTCGGTTCTCGCCGGTTTACGGTTCCTAATAATAAATTATTTGAACACCAAATCCTCTGTGCTAATTTCATCAGATGCTTGCGCTGTAATGGGCTCCTAGCGGCATTCTTAGACTTGATCAACAATAAGGTGTCAACCCAAACAATAGTAACCACATCAAGCAAGAGTTTCCGCCCACCAACCTGTCTATTGAAGATAGTATATAAGATACTGAAATATCATAAACTAAGCAAAATAAATGACAACCTTTCTAGAAAAATAGATTTCTACATAGATTTGTAGCATCCATAGAAGTTTAAAACAATCTCCATAACTTAACAATATACAGTTTTGTTTTTATATTAAAAAACATGAAAATTGAAGTATGTGTATAAGAAGTTAAAAGGATATTTTACGCCTCAAAGTGGAAATGAATGAACATATTTAATCTTAAAACCAAGTAGGTCGAACAGTTTTTAATATATAATATCCTTACTAGTTACTACTTTATCATTATATCAAGCATAGTTTTAGATTGTGAGCTTGAATGAAATTCATCACCCAGGTTATCTCCTAGATAGTTTCTAAACCTGACAACTGGACTCAAGAAGCACAATAATTTGGTGCAACCCAGAATCAAATTCTGACTCCTGACTCAGAATCTCGTATGAACAACAAAGAAGTAAAAGCAGACCTTGAAAATAGCAGCCAGTGCTTCTATAGCTCCAAGTAACCGGAAATGATTGATGACATTATCTGTCGGAGAAGATAGGACTTCGTGTGTCCATTGAACAAAGCTGAAGAAGAATATGTATAAGAAATAGGTAAACAAAGGCAGCAATAAAAGTTGTCTAGAATTACAGCATACTAGCTAAGAAAGAAATAATGACAGAACATGCACATAAGCATGTGCGTGTAATGTAAACGCACTTATATTTCGTATCAAATTTATCACTCATTCTAAGCCAATGGGTGAAAATCTAACAGTTCAAACAGCAAGGTCTTAGAGCATGTAAGGAGAGATAAGTTACTTGACATTGAGTGTTCGTACTATCTTGTATTCAAAATATTAACCATAAAACCAATACTAAATTTTAAGTGTTTCCAAAAAAAAAAAAGGAAGAACTTATTGTGGTGCAGAAACAAAAACAAGAGAGGATTAACTCATATTCTCTTGGCTAGAAGGTTAAATTCCATGAGGGTGTAATCACAGCTTGCTCTCAGCAAAGCAACTCACAGTCAAAGAATGGCAGCAAAGCAACTCACATTACAAAATTTCCCACATCTTACTAAACAATGGCAGCAAAGCAACTCACAGTCAAAGAATAAAGTCACAGAAACCAAGCAATTAAAACAAAACACTCTTCAAATTTTCACCCAACACTGCAAAATTACGACTCTTCCAAAACCATTCAATCAACCAATCAAGCAATCGAAATCGAGGTACCTGGACACTGCCGTCGCCGGAGCGGCAAGGAACGAGGACGGGATCGGGCAGGGGAACGCTGAAGCCTTTGCGGGGAACGCTGAAGCCTTTGCGGGGAAGCTCAAGCCCTTTCGTTCCTGTAGCGTAAGAAGCTTCTCAAGAAGCTCAAGCCCTCTCAGTATGACAGTATCTCATCTGTGTGAAATCTGAAATGGGGGAATCAGGATTTAGGAATAGGAATGGGGGAAATCTGAAATGAGCGGCGTGGTGAAGGTCAGAAGGTGTCTCCGTGTGTGTAAGTGAAAATGAACCCTAATTGGGATAGGATCCTTTGCTTTGCAATTTAGTGAAACCAATTTTTTCAACTTATTATAGCACGACATGTGTGTATAATTTATTTATTTATTATTAATAAAACGGTTCGGTTCGGTTCGATCGGTTCTTGATCATTCGAAACCGGAACCGGAACCGGTTTGAACGGTTCGGTTCGGTTTTTCACTCAAAGTTGACTTTTCCGGTCAACACGGTTTTTTTCGATTTTTTTTCTTACGGTTCGATGCGGTTTTGCGGTTTGGCGGTTTTTATGCCCACCCCTAGCCCACGCGGTGAAGAATTGTTAGCAAGCCGTAATGTCATTTAACCAGTTAGTTCCTTTAAAATTTGGCCCAAAACAAAAAACCAAGTGCTTACTAAACTATTTAATTGGGCCAACCACAGCCACGGTCGTTCCTGAGTTTTTATGGCCTATGGTGAAAAACAAAAATGGGGTCTTTCGACACATTATTTTCACAAGAAAAATAAAAATTAATGAATGAATTTTTCTCTATCCCTTTTATGGGCTTAATACATAAAAGATTTTCTAAAATAAATTTTATAAGAATACAGTCATTGCTAAAGGTAAATTTGAACTAAATTATTATGACTGGCTGTTATAAGGTTTAACTCACTCCTCCACTTCCTTAGTGTAGATAATATTGTTTGTTTAAAAAAACAATATACATTCATTGAAAAATTCTTCTTCTAGCATTTTTAGAGTCAAAATCATCAATCACATTTACAAAGTTAAGCCTTTACAACATATCCTTCTCGATGCGCAAGATTGATGATCTATTTAACCTTTCACGTGTACCTAAAGTAATTTTTCAACCACTTCAATCAAACTACCTCTTTCCTAGTTTCTTATATTATCTACAACTAGGTTAGGATCTTAAGAGAATTTTGAAGAGAAGATAAATTTGAAGAGAGGAATACCTGCAAAAAAACGCTCTGACACTCAAATCAATTTTTGTTAAAGATGATTGCAGTATTATAAAGCGATCTCATACGTCCCCTCCCCCTATGCTAGTGACGTTATTGGCCTTTTACACTCAAATCAATTTAATGAATCATAAACAGTCAATCACACTGAAGGCATAAATTGGTGCGATTTCATTACTTTGCGGTGCAACAAGAGAAAATTGAAATTTCGTGACCCATTTCAAAATCACCCGAAATTAAAATTTTAAGGTGACGGGAGGCAAACAAGATTGCTCCTCCACTTGCATCATTGGGTTTGTCTTTGGATCAAGTTTTACACGGTTTGAAGAACCTCCGTGTGATTGCGGATCTTTTAATTGAGAATAGTTGTAATCTATAATTCTTGGTACGAGACACTCCTTTCTCTTTGACAAGATTAAAATCTCCAATAAGTTTTATCAAGGCCCGGATAATGTACTCTATCCTCTTATGTACCTATTAATTCGATCTTCTAATGAATGTCTCTTTCTAAATAAAAAATAATAAAAATAAAATAAAATAAAAAGTTGTGAAATGCACCTGGCCCAAAGAAATTAGGTGCATGTTCAAATTTCTTTTATTCACTTTTTCAGGAAAGATATAAATAATCACATAAACTTGTTTGCTTTTACGATTTTATCATTGCTTCATAACAAATCAAAATCAAATAGAGGGAACTATCACTAGACTTTCTTCATCCCATATGCAACACCAAGCCAATGAAGCCGGCCACCGTTTAGTTTGTTTTGCTTTGTAGATTGGTAATATTTGTAATTGGTTCGAGTAACCTCCTATTATAATTGCTAACATGTTCTTTGAAGAGAGCCTTGGTATGGTATGCTTTTGGGGCACCATTTAATGTGGTGTATGCTCACCACCCTATTTATTTCTGTTAGATGAGTTTGAATTTCGAGATTCGTGTAGTGGATAAGCACAAATCTCAAAATTCAAATTTATCTAACGGTGATAAATAAGGTAGTGAGCATATACCACACTAAATGATGGTGAGCAAAAATGCACTCATGCTTTTGAAAGCAATTTATTCCCTTCTCCTTCATTTCTCTCCTCATGCATTATATATATATATATATATATATATATATATGTACAAGGTTCTAAAAAATGTTAGGTGCTAATTGGGCGGCAAGCTCGAGCCTAGCACCTAGACGGATTTAAGTAAATCTATTATATTTCGTGTAAATAAGTATCTATTTATACTTAAAAAAATATATATATATATATATATATATAATTATATCATAAACTATGAAATAGATTGAAATATATATTAGTATTGGAACATAATGAAAACATGGAGAA